ACCCTCCGGGCCAGACTGGAAGCGCAACCGCTAAATACTCTCCTGAACAGGTCGTGGGCGGAAGTAGCCGCGGGCCACCCGCTGCCGGACTCTAAGAAGATAGTCCCACGCCCCAGAAAGGAATCTAACTGTATCTGAATCAGCACCGCACCGATCCTAGACCAGGACATCGATAATAACTGATTCTCGAGAGTCCTGCTAACAGAGGCAGCAAACACCCATATCTGTACTGCCCTCCTAAACGCGGAGACTACCAAAGAGGTCCAAGTTGCTGGGATTAGTACTACCAAAACCGGTTATGTTATCCGATTCCGGGACGCGCAGTCCGCAGAGGCCGCTCGGAACAACACCGAGTGGTTGGACGAGTTGGGGAACAATACTAAGGTAGTCAAACCACGGTTTGGGATCGTGGTCTACCGGGTCCCGACCGAGGACTTCGACCTGGACGCCGAAAAGAGACAAGGAATCAGAAAGATCACGACTGAGAATGATCTCAAGGACAAGAAGTTCCAGATCAAGGATATTACATGGCTAAAGAAGAAAGACAGACTACTAGACAAATCAGCATTTATGGGAATCTGGCTGGACACACCCGAGGCAGCTAAATAGATTATTAATAACAGACTGCTGATAAGACAGAGATTTATTGGAAGTATGGAGGCCTACTGGGTGGAAAGAAAACAGTACTGCTACTACCAGTAATTTAGCCACCTGGCGTGGTTATATAAGAAACAGATTAAATATGGATACTGTGTGGATCTATATAATTAATACTACTACTTTCCTAGCATAAGACCTAGGTGTATAGACTATAATAGAGAGTATCTGACAGGTGACCAGGAATACCAGGTATTATTCAACTTTTAGTTATCCTAATAATAATAAATCTCTGTATCTTACAGTGGAATGTGATAAAATCTAGAGCAGGGATAAAAAGTTTTATCAATAATTATTATAGCCAGAACCTGGATATACTCCTAATCCAGAAATTATCTAAAACTGTATATAATATCCATGTAAATTACAGTGCATGGCAGCTATATTAATTTATATATATTAATAAGTCTGTTACTGAAACATGATTATATAGTCTTGTTTATATTAACCGGAGAATCTCTACAGCTTTCTATTACCAGGTCTACTATAATTATTAAGATATAGTAACTATCAAAACCTGGATACCAGAGCTTTAGTATCTAGTATTCTTAATATATATTTTATTTATTAAAATACATAAAGTCTTTGAAGTGACCAGTGCTCATGATATCTTAATAAAAATCTGATAAATTATCTAATAAAATACAGAACCAGATAATTATACTGTTAAATTAATTTTGGCAGGAGATTTTAATTATTATTATCCAGTATGGAACCACTGCAAAGTATATTATTACTTTGTAGTATATGCAGATAAACTAATTAATTTCTTCTATAATTTAGAGTTGTAATGGTGCCTGGATCCTGATGAAATAATATTCTAGATATTTAATAAACCAGATACTATGTCAGTTTTAGATCTTATATTAACTAATAATATAAACAGGCTAGTCAAGTACTAACTATACTATAATAATTATAGATCAGACTATAGAGAAATATACTCTAAATAAAATCTCTATCCAAAGTAAGTAAAAAAGCCTAAACTAAAATAAGTTTACAGCTGTGCAGACTGGTCTTGTATAGGCTAAACTATACTAAGAAAAATAAACCAATATCTGAGAATCCAGATAAATAGAGATCTAGATCATGTAATCAAAAACCTGATTTAAATTATAATAATAGCTCTGGATTAATATGTACTAATACAGATATTATATTTATACTTAAAATACTGGTTTACTCCTAAACTTAAGATCTAGTAAGTAGAAGCTAACCAAGCCTGAAGAAAGTAGTAAAATAGATATATTATCTGGGAATCAGACCACCCAAATACTAAGTCCATGTTTAAGATAATGCGTGAGAAGAGAAGAAAGTAGATAAGAGCTGTAGAAAAAGTAAAGATAATCTATTAAAAAAAGTTCTTGGATAAAGCAGGCGAAGGCCAAATATAAAAAACAGTTATCTATATATGTCTGTAAGATGCCTATATGAGTATTCCAGTAATTTAAATAAATACTAAGAAAATTACAGATAATCAATACAAGGCAGAAGTATTTCTTGAAATCTTTTTCCCGAAGATATCTGAACTAGAAAGTAAAGAAGTCAGCCCGGCTGAAGAATTACTATGGATACTGATTACTGAGAAGAAGATTTATTAATTACTTTGAATTATAAAGGAGACTACAGTCCTGGACTAAGATAGAATCCTGATCCTAGTCTGGAAACATCTCTGGATATTTCTAAAGAGAACTATTATTATTATCTTTACAAAATCAGTTAATCTGGAATACTACCTGAGAAAATAGAAGTAGATATAAATTATTATCCTCTGCAAGCCTGGTAAGCCGGATTATTCTGTACCGGGGATATACTATCTGATCTCCTTGCTTAATACACTGGGAAAGCTGCTAGAAGTTATCATAGCTTAAAGACTCTTATATTAGATAGAGAAATATAAACTATTTTCTGATACTTAGTTTAGAGATAGACCAGGATAAAACACTGAATAAATCCTGCTAGTACTTACTAATACAGTTAATTAAGCATAAGTCTGATCCAGGGTAGTTACTTTAATTATATTTAATCTAAAAGATATCTTTAACAAGGTCAACAAGACTATTCTTGATACATGACTACGCGTGAAAAAGATACTAGCTAAAGCCTGACTGTAGATCTACAGTTTTATGCAGAATTAAGAAACCAGTGTAATACTAGATAACTTTAAGATAAACAGTACTTTCCTGGAAAATACAGGACTAGCTCAAGGATTTCCTTTATTATTAATTCTATTTGGATTCTATAATTCAGATCTGGTAGATTAACTGGTAGACAGTAATAATAGGATATTAATATTTATTAATAATTACTTTCACTGGCAAACCAGTTTCTCGGTAGAGAAGAATATTAAAAAGATCCAGAAAGAGAATATCTCACAGATTGAGTAATAAATACAGAGGACCGGTATATTATTTACAGTTAAAAAAACTAAGCTAATTTACTTTATATATCGTAAACCAGTCCAGGGCAAGGGCGAGATAATTATAAATAGTAAAATAATTAAACTAGCAGATATAACTAAATTTTTAGAGGTTATTTTTAACACAGAGATATAATAGAAAGAATATATATAATACACGGTTAAATAGATAATCAAAAGAATTATCATTCTAAGTGGGCTCTGATATCTTTAACCAGAGTAAATATACCAGCTTTATCAAGCATGCGTCATACCCATGATAAACTATGTATTAACTATATAGTATAATCTGTTATATAGTAAAATATATCTATAATTCTTTGAAACACTGCAGCAAACAGTACTTATTTATATTTTCTCTGCCTTCTGAACAGTCTCCACTAATATTCTAGAAGTTGAGTCTCATATATTATTTACTTATCTATACCTGAAGCTGCAAGTACAGACTACAGCAGCCTGGTTTAGTATTCTACCAGATAATCATCCAGTATAAGAAATCATGAAACGAGCCATGGAATGTAGTATATATATTTATAATATAATATATTTTCTACTAGCAGAGATAATGTAAATTATGGATTTAAGATATTTACAGGTTTTTGAGACTATTGATCCAAGGTTATTAGCACTGTAATAAGTGTAATTCTTTATCAAGATTAATATTAAACCTGACTAAGAGAAAGTACAGGCCTGAGTCCTGGTAAGATAAAAATTAGTAACCAGTATTATAGTCTTCTTAGATATATTAAGAAAGTAGAATCAACTGGATACAGCAGTAATAGCTCTTAATTATAATCTGTAAATCTTAAAATTTTAATAAATCAGTATTAGCTTAATAGAGTACTGGTCAGTTTATGCAGTTAAGCTCATAGTAATCTACTATATTATTAAACTAATCTTCTAACTAGTACAGAGAAATCAAGGGGACTCTGCAACCAATCAATAACTAGTAATAATTCTTAGTAATAATATATCGGCCCTGCAGGTAATCAGAAATTTATAGAATAAATTAAGCCAGTATATTATCTAGATTATTTACTACTCAGCTGGCAAGCTGAAAGCCTAAGAGATTCTACTATAATTGCAATGGGTGCCGGGTCACTGCGGGGATCCTGGAAATAAGACAGCTGACCGGCTAGTTAAGGATACAGTAGGCTTAGATAAGAAATATCTCTTTAAATATCTTCTTATATAGGAGAAAGAATATATACACAGAAAGATCTATCAAGAGTAGAAACAAGAATAAAGGATCTTAAAAAATAGAAGGCACCTGCGCTATATTAATCAAGACCTGCTATCCAGCAGTTCTTATTATTTATATAGCTTGCTTTCTTAGAATTAAGTATACCTGTTTATATAGTTCCGCACAGGCCATTCATGGCTGGCAATATATAGCAAACAACATGGCTTCCGGGAAGATGAGCAGTGTGAGTGTAGGGCCACGGAGACAGTGATATATGTATTTATTAACTGCCCACGGCTTAGCGCAATATATCAAATACTGCGGTAAAAGATTAGAGGAGTCTTAAATAATATATCAGATATGCTAGGAGGAGCAGATCAAGATAGAGAAAATAGGCTATAAGATGTCCCGCCAGACAGCAGCGTCCTTGGGGCAGTCCTGGACTTCGCGGACGCATTGCAGAGATTCCGAAGTCGCGTGCCACGAGGGCGGTAAAACACAACCCCAGGCACTGGCCCACACAGGTCTTGACGAGGCTCCAAATTCGTCAGGAAAGTAATAGGTCACGTTCAAAGTTGTATATAGAGAGTGTAGATAGTGGATCCTGCATATCGCCTTAAGGCGAGGGGCCAGCGTATGAATCATCATCATCATCATCATCATCATCGACTGTAGAAGATAGCCATACTCCTCATCAGTCCGAACGGGTTGGCAATCATGGAACCACTTGAAGATCCACGGTCAAAGGGCCGTAGTACAGATATATTTGTCACAATGGACAGCTATAAAAGCAAGTCTCTCTGCATTCATTTGATCCTCTCCATCACCCTGATAATGGAGAATCTCAAGCACAGTCTTCATGCAAACGGGATCATCATCATGAAGACAGATTGTCGGGCAGTGAGATTCTGTTACCTGCCTTCCCTCGCGAAAATTTGGACCCAATAAATTCGCGAAAACGGGGGAAGCTAAGGTAAGAACCTTGGACGAGACAAGGAACCGTCGAGTAGTCTGGCCTTCAATAGATAGAATGAGGTCTCCACCCGGATCGAGCGACTCCAAGTCCTGCTGTTCAGCAGGTTTTCCATGGCCGCAGATTTTTTCTGTCATTCTAATCCCTCAGAGAGAATTCTGTCCGGGTTTAGGGAATAGAAGCTTGTTGCTTCAACCAGTAGTAAGGGTTAGAATAAGAATAGTAGATGAAGGTGACAATTTGCTCGTCATGATTACGTCGTGCTCAAGGAGAACCGCGGCTAGACATTGTACTGTACGCAACGAAAATCCCCACCTTACACCAAGGCAGTAATGCCTGTCAAGCTGTCCGGTATACATGTTAGATCCTAAAGGGGCAAAAATAAGTGGCATTTGAACACCGATGGCTCCATAATGACAGTGGCACGATAGGAATGTGAGAGTGGCCAGTCCTGGCAAGCCACTTGTACAGGGGGGACCAGTTTACATAAGCTATCTGGCAGCACGATCTGAAACGTAATTGACCGTGGCGACCCACTACTTCCAAACACCACCCGACACTTGAGGCAATTCGACCACCGCAAATGCCACCTAAACCATCTCTCTCGTCAAAAAAAGCGGCGGAGCGAAAAGGTTAAATGCGTGTTATCCTGAAGCTATTGAGAAATACCGAATTCTCTAGCATCTGGGAAGCTGCGCGTGTTTTCTGATCTAGAGCTACACTTCACATGCACGTTTAAAATGATCAAAAATCGAAGAAGAACCGCTTATCCAACCCATCTTATCTTTAGACAAGCCCGAATGTCTGATGTGAGGAATATGGCAAATCTGGCTCTTCTCAAGCGATGTTATTCATATTCTGAAGAAGTAAGCATCAACTAGGCCTACAGCTTTGTTGGGTGCTACAGTATAAATTTTCATGGACCCGATTTAGTAGACGATTCAACCTACCAAAGAGCTCATATATAGGACCTTGGATATTATGAAAGACTAATATAGTAGGATGCTGGAATTATTTAAGGGTACATAATCTTATATGCCCAGGTATATAGCGATCCGGTCGACTATTTCTAATTCCACTAGGATATCCGGAACGGGTTACTTTAAGTATATTCTTTCTAACATGAGGTCCCAGATCTAACTCTGATCTGAAATATAAGATGTATCTTTAGACGTAGTATGAATGTTGATCTAATCATCTACCTCGAGAAATAAGGCCTAAAATAATAGTCGGACGACATGTACTGATAATATCAGACACTAAGGGCTTAAAATATTCAAAATTTTTAGAGGTAGGTCAATAAAGAAATAGAGTACAGTCTTTTGATTGATGGTCGCATAAGTCATCTGACACTAGAATGCAATGAACGCCGTACTGAAAATGAGGTTATGTACTAATTATATACCTGTTCATTTATTTCATCTGCCTCGGTCTCAGCTCAAAGTGAGCTTGAAGGGCCTAGGACAGACAAGCTGTCTAACAATGTCTCCAAAGAACTAGGTCAAGATGATAGGGGCGGGCCTATGCTCTAGCCTCCTCATTGTGCAGTTTGGAAGGAGTCGCCCAGGCGACCATCTGTAGAGCTTACAATGACGCCCAGTATCTTATAACTGTACTGTCCAGATAATAAGAGTAGGACAACGCGTAACCTAGTGGAAAATTATGAGGGTGGAGGTTTCGCAAAACTACTGTTAGCCTTACGAAGCGCTAATCCGAGTAATAGGGAGATCCAAATTGCCGAACAGTTTCATGTATGCTTCTCACATGCGTTACTCACCCAGGTCGAAACCCGCCCACAGGCTGGAGGCTTGGCAGGTACATATGGGCATAGGCGGGCTATGGCGCTGTTTACCTCTCACAATCTGCCTTAATATGATACTGAGCAGTGGGGCACGTATAAGACACAGTGAAGCTTCTCTACCGACGTAATAGGCACTTATTTGTGTAAGTTGAAGGATAATTTCGCGGATACCAATTATTATCTGGGTTCCGTCCCTTACCATTTGGCAGATACCCGTACTAAAGATCCATGGAGCAGGACAATGGCTAAGTGTGGGTTTACAAGACAACAAAGTGTGGAACAAATATGCGAAGTAATATAGACAAGGTAATATTGAAGTATCAAAAAGACGATGGGATCCAGCGGGATCGTAGACAATATTGTCACCTCTTTTGAGATATAGATAGAAGGAATACCCAGCTCCCGACCGTATGTACAATGCTCTGTAGAGGATTTGGCCAGGAAGATACCTTGTTTATACTGGCATTGGTGTTCATTGATCTCTTCCTAAATGAGACTGTTAGCCGTCACAGTAGAGTGCACAGATTGCAGATCGTTTATTCCAAATACTATTCTTTCCCTGGCATGAGGGCCCAACGTCTGTATGCAGCAACGAGCTAGATGATCCCAGTATGGCTGAGAGAAAGAAACCAGGGTATGACAATGCGTTCCCAGACAGCATGGAATGTCAGAACAGGCACAGATTTCTCTCCGTCTATATGCGCAACAGGGCTTAGAAATAATATAAAGCAGTAATGACCTGAATAGAGTAGTAACAGCCTGTCGAATCTTCTATATCCAATCTTTTGAGTGTTGTTGATATCTCTTCTACTTCTCGTTCGGTCACCGGTATTAGGACAGAATATAGTAGATCCATCACAGAGCCAATGATGGAGCGCTGCCCTTTGGCCGCGATTGGTTCCGTTGATTACCGGGTTAGCTTTCTACCCATTGATGAGATAAGACGTTACTAATCTTATGGGAACTCCAGGATACACTACATATACGAGCATGCTATGGCCAAATTGTGCTCATGGAAGCTGGCTCATGGCATTTTGAAATTTCCCTTGAAGATATGAAGCAATCGGTCTTCGGCTGTGCGTTTCTACTATACCACGGCGGCTTCTTGGGTGACGTTCTATCTTATGCTATAAGAAATCGGAACAATGAGCAATGGAACCCTCTGGCTGGGGGAGAAGGTCTGCGTGTTGGTGGCAAAAGGAGGGTTGGTAGATCTGTGTCCCATCATTTTCGGTAATGGAATGAATGGCTCAGCCACCGTCCCGTTTCGAGTCCTCGAAGACACAGTGCCTGGACGTCTGATGATCTGGCAAGCCGAGAACCCGTACTATGAGTACAGGGTTCGCGTGTATGTCAAGGTCTTGCTGATGCTACTTGCTGCAACGGCACATGGGATACTGAAATATGTGCAGCGGCGTGTATGTTCCTGACGGCAAATTCAGTTACAGAAGCTAGAGTATGTATATGAAAGTGCTTTTTGACGTTTGGTAGAAAGTATATGTAAAATACATCAAACGAGTAGCTCTATATCAATCACTATCTATGACAAACTGTGTATGAAGACCCTTCTAGTTAAGCCAGTATATTATAATGCTTGAAGCACACGCATTCAGTTTAAGTCACCACCGAACGTTTATATGTTAAACTGGGAAAGGCAACTTTGGAAGCACCTTCCAGAGCAGGGGCCGTAAATGTCCAGCTTGACGCAAGACCAAAACCAACAGTTGTCAATGCTGCATACCTATGCCAAACGTGATTCCACCTCAGATGTCTGAAGACTTCTTAACATAGTGGGTTCTCTCCATTGGAGGCCATTCCTGGTATGTTAAGTAAGCCCTTTCAAGATGGCCTTGCTTCACACCAGATTCACACCAGTACTAGCCAGAAAGGGTATCCTTAGCCTGGTCCATGATGGCAAGCCGCGATGTTAGCTGAGCAAGCGCATCAGTGATGGCCTGCATCTGGCGTCGGTTCGCCTCCATAACGGCTTGGATTGTATTCATAGTGTCCTGGCCTTCTCCACCGTGTTCCTCTGCTGAAGAACTGGCTTGTTGGTTCCCATCTCCCTGGGATTCACCTGTATGTCTGCTCTTGTTGCTCCGCTTAACTCTCGCTGTTGGCTCAATACCTTGCTGTCCGTTGATTGCACCGCCGGCCACTGATGGTCCCTGAATCTTAGCATAATTGCGGCCAGGGAGTCGTCCACGAGAGGGCATTTGAGCCCACGGCGGAGTCATACTATGCTGTCCATAGAAAGCATTGATTTCTCGATCAGCGGCCTCCCGACCAAGCACGTTGCGCAGGGCGGTTCGGCTCAGGATGTCCGTAAAACCGTTGTGAAAACGGACCAGGCCGTACGAAGGAGGTAGAGCTCGTCGGTATTCCCAATCAGATGGAGACGAATTGGATGGAATCCTACAATCCCATCCCAGGATCTGATCATAATTATTACGATCACGTTTGCCATAGCGGCTTTGCGAATACCGGACATCCTTTCTCTGTGACTCAGGGAGCTCCAGATACGACCTAGCTGCATCATATCCAACATCCTGCGACCGCTTCATGGCGATTCCATTGGGCTGGCTTTCCACGATAAAAACGGTTCTTTCGCTGTCCATATGTGGCACATAGCCAAGTATCCGGCGCTCATCGTTAATGTCGCCGGGCCCCCGATTGTTACTACCGTCGCCGTTACCAATGGCTGAAGGGAGCTTCCATGTTTCAGGATAGCCGTACCCCTTTCGAGCATTCTCAAACTGGCTCTCAATCCTACGCAGCGTTTCCGACTGTATTCCGCTGGCAGTTCCATCTTGAACCAACTCAGATGCCTTGTTGTATTCGTCACGGACGCCTGTCAGCAGGTCTATCTTGATCAGAAATTCATTCTCAGGCCGGCTGTATTTCCGGTTCTCTTCCTTGATTCTCCGGTTGAGGTCGTTGATTTTTTCACGCATGGTGTGAACGACGGACGTGTCTTTCGCTGTGAGATATTCATTGACGTAGGTCGTAGCTTCTGAGTAAACTTCCAAAACGGCATGGTCAGGGGTCTTTGGTCCATCTTCCTCATCGGCTGAGTGGCCCTCACTGGACTCGTCGCCGGAAGCATTGTCCGCGAACTCCTCCCCGAAGAGGTCATGTGGATCGATGCTTCCTTTGTTCTCGTAACGGTCATGCTGCCTATCAAAGGCGGCCCGCTCTCGGGAATCGCTGAGCACTTGGTAGGCTTGGCCAATCTCTTGTCCGGCAGACTTGTCAGTGACAATCTAGTAAGACCTTGTGGCAGCCACGATAATGTTTATGATACTGCTGACCACTTGGACACTCACTTTTGAATGCGATTTCTGCGTCTTCGTACTTATTTTGATCTGGGTGTATCAGCAGGGCCAAGGTTCGATAGGCTTGTCGGATATCCCGTGCGTCACAAGTCCTCTCAAGTCCCAGCACGCCGTAATAATCCTTGTCACCGCATTTCCGGATTCGGGTCGTGGCCGCGCGCTGCTTTAGACTGTAGCCCCGACGGTGCTTTTCCCTACGCCTTTGAGGTTCTGCTGCAGCCCCTTCTGATTGATGCATCTGTACATCCCCGTCCGCGTCCCGACTCGATGGAGAGTCTTCCCTGTCTTGTAATGGTGAGAACTTGTTCTTATTGCTCTTGTCTTTCGCGCCACGAAGAGAGTTCTTCTTAGGCGATTTTTCCTTTCCACTCATGGCCGCCGAACGCTAGTGGGCGCTGGGCGGTCAAATACCAATTTGATGTTGACAGAACAATATAATATACGTAGGACACGGTTCTTGAATATCCTGGCGTGTGTGGTCACTGGTTTACACAGTGTCCCTTAGTCTCCATGTGGGACAGTATGTAAACCAGCTGTTATCGGCTTTTATATTGCGGTTCCTCTGACCAGGCGCTAGATAGCCAGCGGAAGTTGCAGATGTTGAATGGGGCATAGAAGCGACTAAAGCCGTAGTTATCAGCGCCCCTAGTCGTCGGTGCATATCCGCTGGCTCAAAGGAGACAAGAAAAATTGAATTTGTCCCTTACTTACTATTGAAGATAAGTAGTACGTTGACTAGATGTGTCTGCAAGCCGGTAAGGCATGGTGTGTATCCCTCTTTCAGATAGAGCAGTATGTCTTGCACTTCTGTCTCTCCAGAGTGTGACCACATTTGTTATCTGTTGCATGCGTCAAGAGCTGGAAGAAAGCTTACGGATGCCTTTCCAGAGCAGAGTAAGGTCTAGCACTGGAAAGTAGTAACACTTCGCGACCGGTGGAACCTAATGATACTTATATGGGAAAAGACACATCTGCACCATTGAGTCTCGTGAGATTGAAACATCAATTTGCCCTCGGCCTCAAGCATGTCTGATACAGTCATGTTAGACGACTTCACGATCACTCCTGATCAAATAAGCACAGTTCGGTTTTCTAGCCTCCCGCACCCAGAAGGCATGACTATCCGCAGTCCAGACCTGAACCCAATCGCTCCAACCCGACCTAGTCACATTCGGGAGACACATGAATTCCGTACGGTATGTGAGCGACCAGGGCAGGTGTGACAAAAGCCTCCTGTGAATTACGAAAGTTGCGTCATTTACACCTGAGTATATTTTAGCAGTTATAGCTTTTACTCTAGTCAGGTACTGACCTAATTTGTCCCGTCAGTTAAGGAACCAAGCGCTGCATGGTTAATCCGCTCCGGGTAATATTGTCCAAGGCAATAACAAGACAACGTTTGATATGGTACCCCTTTTACAAGATCCATGTTGTACGGAATATATGATTAGTTCAACTATCCGCAACAAGAAAGCTTACCTTCAGTGCAGCGGCAAGCGGGCATACAGCTGCAAGGGGTCAGAAATTAGTACGACGGTGTCAGACCGGAGCTGGAAAAACAGCTCGGACAGATTCAGAGAAACCCTGACTCATAATTAGCTCAAGCACATGATCTGATACTCTAAGAGCTTACACACGTGATAATTCCTGACACTGAATCAGCTTTACACGTGACCAAAAAATGCTACTTTAAAAAATAGAAAAAAAAAAATCCCTAAAATTCCTAATACCCTAAATACCCCTAAAAGTACCCTTAAGGTGTGGTTATAATGGTTCATTTAGCTTAGAAAAGCTAGTACGGGGTCAGAAAAACTAAGTCTGAGTCAGGAACTCAGGATCATTTTTTCACGTGCTTGAGCTCATCCTAAGTCAGGATTTCTCTGACACTGTCGCACTAATTTCTGACACACCCCCCTTCGCAACTGAGACCCCGCGGCGACACTATTTTTAGTTCATTAAAATGGGTGAGTCAGCAATCGTGTTACAAGCGCAGGCTTAGCCACATTTGGTGGTAGCAGATGACGCGTGGTAAGCTAGCCTGTCTTGGCACCTTATGCCCGGGGATTATGTCCATGTGCCAACCCAACTCCCAGGATAGGAGTCTGTTATAGAAGACCAAGTAAGGTTTTCCGCTCTTCCAGCTGCTGAGAGGGCTTGTACAATAGGAAGGATGTCTGTTAGTGGATTACGTATTGCATGGTCTGGCAATATACCAGCATGGATGCCGTCAGTCTTGGGTAACGAGCAATCCGGCTATGTTTGGTATACCCGTAGAAGGATAAGTTCGAAGGAGATAGATCGTGCCTAGTTATACAAAAGCCCTAAACATGCACCATAAATCTAAGTACATACAAGTGCTTGATTGTTTCCTTTCGTTCCTGCTGGGACAAGGCGTATCCTGCGGACGAACACAGACGATACAGCTAGGAAGGGAAAACATCAAAGAAAAGGGTTTGAACTCTCATGTTGAATATAATCCACTTGTCTTTTTTTGAGGGGGTTATTGGGGGGTCATTGGGGCAGTGCTCCGCATTCTGTATAATTGAAGTAGGACTGCATGTCGGTCTCCGGGAGCAATGGCATCGATGCGGGTCCCATTTGTAGAGTTTGATCCGGCAAGACATGAGCCAGGTTATTGCTCGGATCGGAGGGCTCTCCAATCACCGCTCGGTCGTCTGCGAACATCTCCACTGTCGGATCCGAAAAGTGCTCAGTAGGCTTGCTGGACCGATCAGCCTTCGCTGACTGACTGACAGCGACTCCGAAGCTCTCGGGCGTCAAGAGGCTGGCCGATGGGAAGAGTCGCCTCTATAGATAGATCAATGAGCATGCAGAGGTGCTGACTGGCACGTATCTCGGTACTTACAATCTGTGCATACGTCGGCGGAAATTTTCTGTCCGGAGTGCTTCTGTACTCGGTTATGCCACCACGGCGGTCCTGGATGAGCATATATACTTTGGCGTCGGCCAAGAGAGCATAGTCGTGAAGGCCCTGCGTAAGACGGTCTTTTCGTCGCTTAAGCCGTTCCTGAAGGTTTTTGACTCTTTTTCTTTCCTGCTCTTGCTCCCGCTTTGAGGCCATTGGATCTATGCCTGCAGCATTCCAGTCTTGTGCACTGGTGTGAAACTACCTGCCTGCAGCGGGGGTACCTGAACTATTATGGCTGTTGGCTAGAGTCACTCAGCTGCTGGAGATGATCTATAAGAGTGGCCTTAGCGCAATAAAATCAACGTATTGGACGCGTTCCCCACGCTAGCTGTAGGACGGTTTGATAGCGATCAGCATACAAAGTCTGGTTACTTAAATGACTGTGGATATCGCGGAATATACACATGTCTCCCAAAGTACAATGTGGATATATAGCATAGTGAATTAACCGACTAGAAGTACCGAGACTCCTGTGCATATGTGCGGGAGGCCTTGTTTCCCTGTCTCTTTGTCGTCTAACCAGAATGCATCCGCGATCCTCAAGACATTGTAATAGACCTGATATGCTTTTGGCTTTATAGATCTACATCTTATGATTGAGTATAGTAGAACATGGAGACTAAGTTTTAATAACAACGGGCGGCAACACAGTAGTGCCAAAGAATAGTGTAGATTAGGGGGTCGCCATTGTTGTAAGAGAGCTCTGAAAGGGAGTGGAAGTTACCCCGTGTATAGCCACCTTGAGCCCTGCCCAACCTGATCCCAATTAAGGTCACGTTTTTCATCCACAAAGAGCATGCTATTCTTAGGTTGTAAGTTTAAGTCGTATATCATGCCTCTTATAGTACAAGGTATCGTACAGGAACTCGCGACATTGGTACCCTGGATGGCGCCCTGTGAGAGAGCTGCCGTTTTACACTAGGGACATGCGGGTGATATATATGCATTAGATATAGAGGAGCACGATTTTATCACACGAGTGCAAGTCTAGGATACGGCTGGAACATCTGCCCGAATGTCTAGATGGAACTGGCTATCATGCGTAAGGGGGTCAGTGGCAATCATCAGACTGCCGGGCTCAACATGCTGCTATCTTTGGTGTTTTGCCGAGGTACGGTTACAGTCATTTCTCAACTTCATTGCAACGGGCGTTGTCAAAAGATGTTTCGAGTTGCTAGATGACAGGATTTATAAGTGTTACAGCATTTACAGCATAATAGAAATCGTAAAGCTGTTCCAGCGGAAGTGGATCTGGCCAGTTGAGTAACTTTGTGAATGAGCCGTGCTCATGACGGCAACGGCAGCAGCCTGAGAAGCCGAGTAAAGTATATTTTGGTGGCTGGATGGCAAGAATGACATATATTAGGCCAAACGTCACTTGGATGCATCTCAATGCCGCAGAGCAGGCTCTGTTCTGGCTGTAGCAGTGTAGCAATGCGAGTCTTCCATACATATACACTTGGTATTAATTGCCCAACGACCACTTCATGCGACTCCAACAGTGGAAACAAAGTAGAGGCCCGCGGAGCCTGGAGAGACACAATAGTTACAATATGTGCAAGCCAGCAATCCCTGACTTTGCCGTAGGAGGCTGTTGCTCCAATATGAGGTCCATATGATGTAGACCGGCGGATGTTCCAGAAGCGTGGCGGTTTACTTGCGCATCAGGATTCTAGCCTGATTGTTTAAATCTTGTCATATACCGACTTACGTACAGTATCACTAAGCTAGCAATATGTCGGAGTAGTGTCTGGCTCGGCTGACATTCACAAGAGCCTAAATATAGATGATTCATACATCTGTAAGCAGCTATACTATAGCTGATAATGATCAGTTATAGATCTCAACATATTTGGCGGTATCCAGGTAAATAAACATGAAATATGATTCTCAATATTGAACACAGAGATAGGTCGTGAGATACTATGGAGTTATTGTGCAACTAAGATGGTAAGAGCCAAGAATGCTCGCGGTGGTTATTCTATCCCAGCGACTGATAAATGATCGATCTATGAGAGCAGAAAGCTAAGTAAGGGTGGCTGACTAAGCCTTTGTTCTATGCTGGATTTAAGATTTGCTCCCAATGGCTTGTGACAGCACATGCTGTTTTCCAGCACAAACCACATTCATACAGCGGTGCCTGGCTGGACCTGTCAGCCTGACATGGGAGACTGGACATACATAGACAACAGATTCGATGGCCACATGACATATTGACCAGACCTTCAGCCGAACCAATGCACATATGGCAAAACCTTATGCTTCTTCTGTATCTCACGGCTTTCCGCTGTTGCATGGTCTCGTCAATGAGCTCTTGCTCCTTTTCTAGTCGCTGGCGTAGAAGCTGGATTCGTGCCCTGACTCCGTGGAAGTTGTATATCCCTGCAAAACTATTGCTGAAGCAAGGTGCATCTTCTAGGGCCGGTCCAGTTACACGGCAACATATCAGAGCTTGGTGAAGCTGATGCTCGTTTTCGAGTAACCACCGGGTTTTCAGCTTTTCGTTCAAGCGGTGCGTAAGTGAGATCTCGAGCCAAAGATATCCCGCATATCGCCTCTGGGTATCGCGATCATGACAGTCCACTGATTGGGCTTTATAACCGCCTGACATCGTCAACGCCATGTGATTGAACACTGTTCCCGTCAGCTTCTTAGACCTAAACATGCCTCCGATTACAGCAGATACATATCTCCTAGGGATATTTACCTGCTGATCCAGATGGTGAAGATAGCAAAAGCAGAACTAGTTCATTAAAGGACAGAATTCTTCTCTCAGTCATCAAAGAGTCTGCTGCTTAAATATAGACAGCGTTGAAAGTTGCGAGATTCAGTACTAGGTCTTCACTAAGAATATCCGTTACTGGGGTGGAGTTATATACACATGCAATGAGCTTTGATCATGCATCCTAGAATGTGAGCATAGCATATGGAATGCCTGTATGCATTTGCTGCTGATCATAGGAGCTTTGTGTGCGGTTCATGTACATTCCCCTGTCATAGCACACCCATCTAATCCTGGCACAGTTGGGTCGTGTTTTCCTATTGAAGAAGAGTGATCAATGTGGCTTACCTGGTTGCTCGATGCCATGTAGAAAAATACAGAAGTTTGGAACATTTGTCAACTTCAATAGTACAATAGGACATGTAACATTAAGGACACAATATATCACTCAGAGAGTGACCCTAATATCAGAGTTTAGTAGTGTCTGAAAATCCATCCCCTGGGTATTGCAGGTATAAGATTAAATGCGTTAATTCTCTGTTCAGTAAGATGCCCAGAATATCGAGTAACTGACGCCTCTATTCAGATGGCAGACTCGCCAGAACTGCTGCAGTCTCGGCCCCAAGTAACCGTAGAGATATGGTGGTAATACCGTCGATAACCATGCAGGGCAGTATACGTTACATGCGGCTAATTAGAAAGGCTGGATGCGCATGTAGAAGGCCTTCTACAATATTAATAAGAACCCAGGTTGGCCTACGACCTGCTTCAAGTCCTGTATTCGTTTCTTTCAGAGCGTTGAGGATCGCAGTAGGAGCTATATTTATGATGTTCCAACAACTGGCCTTACTCTCGGCTCTTCTGTCCATGGCGGCTCTTCCCGCTATGAGGTGGGTTGCATACAGCATAGGTTGGCCCGGATGACTATATATACTGACAGGGTCTAGCTGCGTTTTACCCCCAGCCCTCACTTCGCATGATGGCGCTGCGGTCGCGCAACACACATCTACTGCTACTGTGGACACCGGCAGGACCACGGCAGCAGTTGTCACGCAAACTGTATGGGTAACAACACAAAGCCCTGTAGGATTAAGCAATCACAACGGTGCTGCGGCAACAACCAATCCGGATACATCTATGGGAGAGAATCCGAAGCCGACGGCAACCTCCTCCATGGAAGCCACTGCAGCATCAGCAGTGGACCAGATGCCAGGGTCGTCCTGGCGCTCACAGTCATTACCGCAAACAACTGCCCGGCCACAAGAGACTCAAGCACAGCAACAACCATCCCAATTAGACGAGGCAAACCCCAAGACTGGTAAACCTTCGATGGCCCCTCTTCCCGAACATACCGCATCCTCGTCAAGCCTAACGGCATCGCAGACAACCGGTCCGCAGCCGAACAGCACCGCCGATATTATCTTCGCCGACACCACAGCCACCATTCATCTGTTCATTGTCGATGTGGGGGCTATGCCCATAGACGGCAATGATGGAAATCGCAGCAGCTCACTGTTCGAACCATCGTTTATTGTAGCTCAACCGGGCGACACTGTAGTCTTTCGCTTCCACGGGCCCTACGCGCTCTACAGGTCTGGGACGCAAGACCCATGCCACGCGGCCCGGCTGAGCCAGAACTCTGTGACAGGGAAGGGGACCGTCTCATCCTATCAGGTGCCGGTCACTTCGTGGGAGCCGGTTTGGTTTTCGGCCAGCTTGAGTGATAATCCCCATCAATGTGATAACCAGACAATCTTTGGCCTCAATGTTGGTGGGGATAGCCTCTCACACAGTTGAACATGAGGATCTTAATTGTGAGCCCCGGGAACGTTTGGATCTATTTGATTCTCGAGTTGTTATTATGTCTACAGGGCCTAGCTGTGCCCGTTCGTCTATAGCTGCTTCTACCCAAGAGAACCTGAGGATGTAGGTAGATAGAAACAGTAACCTGGTTGTTCCAATGTATTGCATTGACCAAAAGTGCTCCTGATCATTGTGCGTACTATTTGGTATGACGGAAGCATGTCCTATGTGCCGTTAGCCCGCAGACGTCTATTTCTGGTGGTTTATTGATATACTGTCCAGCCTCCCTGTCTTCGCCCTGGTATTTTCTTTACTTTCAGTCTCGCAACTTACAAATGGGTATCTGTCGAGAAACCGAGCTGTTCGCCGGAACATGCGTCATGCTGCTAGGGGATAAGTGCTAATAAGCAAAACCTAGCATCAAGATCCATCCATGTTAAGATTATATGGAAGATCAAACTCTCCAAACTCTATCTTGGGTAGATAAAAGAAAGGCCGTGAGATTGTCCTTCTTAGAATTTCTCACCGGAACTCGAAATACATATGCCACTTTGAAGGATTTGGAAAATTGTATACCTTAAATCTAGTATCGTGCCACAAACTTTAAGCCGCTGACACTATTGTAGCAAAGCCATGCACTCTGCCAGCCTGATCCATTGAATAGATAGACTGTTTGCTGTTCCCGAAGCAAAAAGGCAATATACCTCTATAAAGCCATTGGACACACTAAACCGTGTTAGCTTCCACGAACCCTATGGCGCTCCTTCCATTAGCTGACACTCTTCCCGGTACTGTTTTGCAGTTTTCAGTGACCTAGAGAACAAGGGGTGTGTGACAATGTTAGCTACTTATCTTTGTAACAAAATAATGCCCATTGAATAGGAAAAACACGGACTAGATGACCTGGTTTTCATGGGATGCATCCCGATCCCACGCAAGTAAGATCGAGCGCACCCACAAGGCTATGTGTTTCACTTATGAACCACTGCTACCAATAGACAATTTAAGATGTGTTTGTACTGGACACCCATGCGTAGCGTAGTTGTCATCCGGGTGCAGGTAAACATCATGACAATCATAGACCCCAGCAGCGCAGCTCACCACTGGACAAGAAGGGTCATTGGAGGTCACCGTTATATTATGTTGGAAAAGATCGGAATCATAGTCCAGGTCAATGTATGACACATCCTAATAGATGATTGGGTCCATTCTGGTATACTCAAACTGCAGCACGCTGCGTTGGCTTGGCTCAGTGGCTAGTTTGATTGAAATACCACCACCATCCACCCTGGTTCTCCACGACTCAAAATACTGTTCCTGGTGGGGAATCACCGTCATTGGGCCAGTTGTGTTAGAGACCGACCATGCAAAGACATCCTTAGCAAGATAATTGAAGATAGTAACTCCGGGGAGATACTCCTGGCGCCGGGGAACATCATTGCTTGGCTCCGGTGACATTCCAGCCACCAGCACGAATATCCCAAAAATGGACGTCACTGTAGCCATCTCTGATAGTGACGTAAGCGCTCGAAGATGGCGTGAGATGCTCGTCAGTTTGTCTTTCGAAAGGGTTTTTGTCAACGATTTAACAAATGTGCCCGGCAGTATTACTACCTCAGTATACCAGGGCAGTCTTTATATTATTCTATTATATACCATCATCGATCGCGGCAGCACCCTGGCCGGACTGCTGGTGATGTTAATGGCTGACAAAACTTAACGACAATCGAGTATTTACTGTCAGACGTAAGTCGTTATTGTTTCTCACCAACGGACTGGATACCTTCGGTGCTTTGGGTTTCCTTATTCTTATCCGCAACAAGAGGCACGTGTTCGTTTACAGTAGAACAGGATCTGTTAAGCCAAGCGAGTCTTACATATTCGGTGGTGATATCTTCTGCATTGTACAGCAAATGCCAATCTGATAAACCCTGATATATGAGACAGAAGTCACATCAAGCATACCTCTTTCTGCAGTGGGAACATACGCTTGTCTGCCCTGTTTGTGATAATTAGACGCAACACCACTATTTGAATAAGATAAGAATCCAAAGCCACGATCAATAGTAGCACGAACAGCACGGAGATTATACATGTAGTCGGCCTCGGTTTTCCATACATGAAGCCTGCACTAGCAATATACCCTGTTTAGCCTGCAGGAAAAATGGCCCCATTTCTGCAGATTGTGCCAGCAGCAACAGCTCCCATTGGCACAAGCCTTCCCGAATCACACAAGAAGAAGGAATGACCATCACTAGAGCATTGCATCACTCCAGGTGTGCAGGAATTCCCAGCTATAACGGGCGTACTGCCAATTCCTGTCGAATATCTTATCCCTGTAGAATCGGTGTAACTCGTGGATGAAGTAGAGTTCTTCTCAGTGATCGTGTAAAATACCGATTTTGTGCTCAGTGTGCTTCCTCCTGGTGGCGTGATCTCGGGCCTAGGCGTTGTAAGAACTGGCGGGGTGATAAAAGATGCCATCGAAGAACGCGAGCTGGCAACCTTGCTTAGAAAGGTAGCCGAGCTGCTGCATGTATACCCAGTCCCTGGAACGGTGCCCTCGACACTATCACCCGGCATCGGGAAGCTGACTTCCTCGCCTTAATAGTGACGCACTGCCCCTCGCCGTTGATATTGGCGAGAAAGATGGGAGGCCGCTCCAGCCATGAAGCCTGCTGCGTCTCTCCCTGCAGCGTCCCGACATCTGTTTTAGGAGACTGAATTGTCACTTGCGCGCAATTCATGTACATTTCCCGGTTTCCAATCTTGTTGAACCAGGTCCATGCCAGCAGGGCGGGCCCGTATGGTGCGTCTTCTGGGATTCGAAAGGAATAGTGGAGAGGTTCCGGGCAGTGGCCGAGGATGGAGTGGATGACACGGAAAGTCTCACCCATGTCATATGACAAAGAAATTTGGCATGACCCACTGCCATGAGTAGCGGTTCCGGCTAGAGTGATTGCATATTCCTGTCCGGCTGTATACTCAGCAACTGAGTCGAAGGGATCGCGAGCGTAGCCCTTGCAGGGAAAATCCGACCCCGTTGCCGATAAGGGTGAGGTGTAGGAATAATCTTTGATACTACTGTTGGTATTCAGCGGGCTACGGATAGGTAGAGGATCGCTCATCTGGATATGAGCGGCAGTATACGTGATGAAGCTACTGTATACCATCCATGATTTCCTCATGGTTGCCAGCCGATTCGGATATGGAGCACACTGAGCTATTGGTAGTGCTGGGAGGAAATGCGGGTCTTCCCAGTTTGGCGAATACATAGTTCCGAACCTGGGGGAAATGGGACTTATTATACTAATCGAGTGAGACATACAAGGGACTCCTTACAGGGGCTGTCACACATTGCATACGCCGCCTTGATAGTACTACTAGACTTGGTCTAGACTGCATTCGAGGCCACCCTTCCTTGTAGCTTTTGAAGGCTCTCAGAATGAAGTGTCTACTGCATCTGTCAGTTCATCATTGGCTTGACTGAGGAGCGCGAGTATTGCTCACTCTGCCCTAGGGTATACCACAATGCTCGTGTTTAGGCTGCTGGCTATAGATACTATTCGTATTAAAGAGGGCCATGTCGTTGACGAATCTGGCGATATTCAATCTATAGCTCTTGGGACGTGACAAGCATTGTGCAGCTAAATAATTTATACACAGTGTCTTTGATCTAGTTTTCGGTAATACCATGCTTATCTCAACCATGAGAAATAGGCATAACAAACATTCATTAATTATTCTTTTGACATATAAATTATCCCCAGGTAACTTCTACTAGACGCCATTAATCATTACGCAAGATGTATCTCCGTTTCAGGATGGTGGCCATCCCAAACGAAGTTACCACATTTCTTCTGTCAGAGGAAAGCAGCTGTTGACGACTTATACCCCGAAGCTTGTCTCCAATAATTGTAAATATTTATAGAGCTATATCCCGGGATAGTGCCTTATCGTTAAGGAAAACGTTGAATCCCGGCATTGAGAAATCATAGTAAATTCTGATTCGAGCCAGGCTCAGCACGACTTATTCCAGTATAGCTCTGTAGTGAAGATGAAAGACATCGCGAATTCAACTTGGGCGATTATTTGTCTCTCTTCATCCGGTACTTGAATTATGTAATTGGCAATATATCCCAGGAGATGTTAATCCATCCTGTGGGTGGTCTGCGTACTGTACTGTAACCAGGCTACCAATAACGAATTTATAACAGGCCTATCATCCTCTCTAGAGTGGCACGCATGATAACACATCATTACATACCACAGGTATGCCGTTAGCGCCTTCGTCAAGCAGAAAGGCTGAAACAGTCTCCACCTGCCCCATGTACTTGTATCCGTTCTTATGGAGAATAAGCAACAGATAAGGTAAGACGGAGAACGCTAATACTCAAATCGAGTAAGAGTATTACTTATCGGGAGTCACTGCTCCAGGCCTCTTATCGCTGCACTCACAGAGCCCATGTGTGTGGATATAATCCGGGATTGCATACTTCGCTACAGCAACCTGATGCTCGTATTTGATTTGTTGTAGGGCTACAAGCTGGATAATACCGAGGAGAATAGTGGCAGCAACTGCAAATGCGCCTGTCACCGCTGCTGTGGCAATTGCCATCGCGGACCAGGTCCGGTGTCGCGCTGTATATACATTAAGAAACGTATTGACTAAGCCAGTCACAGAGTGGACCAGGGTCGGCCTGGCTTCTATTAGTGACATAATCCTGGTAAGAGTGAAGGCACATTACAGGAAAATCTGGCGTGTTGGCCAAATGAGATTCGACCTCCACCTCCACCAAAGCCAGCCGCAGCCAACGGTGCCGAGTGCGCATGACGCTACGGCTAGGCCGAGGAGAGGGGGGTTCTGAATAGCATCAGATATTACCCCATTGTCCCGTCTCCGGCCCTTCAATCCATCAACCAGCGCGGTGTCTTGCAACGTAGAAAATGTGCCGGGGAAGACCAAGAATCCCGCTAGGAGAAGCCAGGTACAGCTGGATGCAATCAGATTATGCAGAATCGGTATTCTCTCCGTCTCGAGCAGCATGTCAACGTAACGGCTCTGGATGGCGGGGTTAGTCGAGCTTGGAGACTCGCTCAGATGGTCAAGCCACCGTCGCCATCTATATGTTTCCTTTCGGGCTGTCGATGATTGTGCCGCCATTCCCGTAGTGCAAGGGAGCTCGATGTCTGTATGGTATGGATGCCAAGAGCGGACAAGATGAGCCATGACAGGAATCTGTCAAACAGCTGGATTTATATCTGCTGTGGGAATAGATATCACCCTACATCCCAGGAACGTGTCGTGTTTCTGGACAAGACTACGCCCCAGCTCCTGCCGCATCACATACTGTACACCACGTTCTGATGAGAAAATTACACTCTCATTCCAGGTCCTTTGGCCAGCTAGTTAAGAAACCTACTGTGTGAGCTTTAGCTCATGGAATATCTGAACAAATGGTCATAGAACGTCAACAAGCTGGACCGATATTTATAAAAGAGGCTACCTCCTGCAAGACAGCTCATACCAGACCTACTGTGCTATGTTTCCTGAGTTATTGAATCTGCTCCTTGGAGCGCACCAGACCGCGACTGTTCCTCTTGATCTATAAGCAGGCTACATAAACGTGTACAGTCAGATTCAGAATCGCCTTCCGCCTGTGTTACAGTTCTGTTTTCTTGAGGCCCCTCTGCCGACCATCACACTGTACACCAACCATTCTCGGGAACTACAATACAGGAATATAACGAACAGTGGTATCGTTCATCCCTCAGCATGACGTCATATAATCCTTCGGATACGTATCCATATTAGGAAAGATAACAAATCCACTAATATGTTCGACCACTATCTATTATTGCAGTCACCTCCTCTATATAAACATTAGCCATTCCGGGCGTTTCTTTGAGATAGGATCTATGAAAACAGGTAGAGGCAAGCAAAAGCAAGGAAAGAAAAGACAAGTATGCTTTGTGGACTATACCATGGTGGCGAATCTACCGCTGTTTCCCAGTCACTGAGCGTGGTCAAAGAGGATATGGTATCTGGATGATCTGGACCCAATAGACTGCGGCGGATCACTGCACACTGTTTCATAAGAGCAAAGGCGATCTTAAACCTTCCCTGGCGTTTCCATGTAAATGATAGATTGTTCATGCTGGTAAGAGTGTCAGGGTGCTCTGGCCCTAGCACTCGCTCGCGAAGCTCCAATAATTGTACCTGCAGGTCTTCTGCTTCCTTCCATCGTCCCTGATTCCCGTATATTGATGCCAGATTGTTCATGCTGCTAAGAGTATCAGGGTTCTGTGGTCCTAGTACCCGCTTGCAAAGCTTCATTACTTGCACTCCCAGCTCTTGTGCTTTCTTCCATCGTCCCTTATTCCTGTATATCGATGCCAGATTGTTCATGCTGCTTAGAGTATCAGGGTGCTCTGGCCCTAGCACTCGCTCGCGAAGCTCCAATAATTGCACCTGTAGCTCTTCTGCCTCCTTCCATTGTCCCTGATTCCCGTATATCAATGCCACATTATTCATGCTGCTAAGAGTATCAGGGTGCTCTGGTCCTAGTACCCGCTTGCAAAGCTTGATTACTTGCACTCCCAGCTCTTGTGCTTTCTTCCATCGTCCCTGATTCCTGTATATCAATGCCACATTATTCATGCTGCCTAGAGTATCAGGGTGCTCTGGTCCTAGCACTCGCTTGTGAAGCTGCAATACTTGCACCTGTAGCTCTTCTGCTTCCTTCCAGCGTCCGTCACTATACAGACACCAACAGATTTTTTCAATCAAATCAATGTATTTCTCTTGCTCCTTTTGGAAGTCAGCTTCTGCTATTAGTGTAAGAGCATGCGGTAGATATTCCCGCCACACCTGCCGATTGGCATGATCATCATTGGGGAAGACTTTGCTCAGTTGGGCAGCAGTTTTCAATATTTGCACGCGGAACTGTTGGCTCTTTCTCATCCAATTCCGAGTCGCAAGATGGACTAGTCGGTGTAGATTTAGAGAACTGTCCGTGCTCCCCTCACTAATAAAGGAAAAGGCCTTGAGAAGACCAAGAGCATCGGTTTTGTTCTTATTCGAGATCGGCTGGGGAAGTAAAGACTGTGGAATGTCATGCGGGTTGATGCAGGCAAAGAAGGACAGATAGTCCGCCGCTAAGTTATTTAACTGTTGAATTTGCTGGAAGGAGATAAACCAAGTCAGAGCAACAGGATTCTGGATGTCTTTGTAGCGCATTTCATCTCTAAAATCTTCACTCAGCAGTTCAACCACATGTGGCTCCTGGTCCCGTAGAAGCTGAAGATAGTCAGAGAGGCCAATGCTGTTTTCATTGATATACGCTGCTGTCTGGGTGATCGCCAGAGGGAGAAAAACCAGCTGCCCAAGAAGACTCAGAGCTGTAACACGATCATCAAGCAATCTTTTCTCAACCAGTGAGTTCTCTAAAATTTGGACAGAAGTCTCTGTGTTCGGCTCAGAGATTGTGATCACATGTGAAGATGCTAGTTTCACAGCTACCTTGCGGCTGCGCGTGGTGAAGAGAATATGGCCCTGCTCACCTTCAGGAAGGAAGTCTGTTAATACTGAATCAGTTTCGGTTTTGCTCCACATTCCCATATCATCTGCATTATCAAATATAAAAAGCCACTTCCCGGCACTCTCCTGGCTAAGATAAGCTTTGATCTTTTCTTTCACCTCTGCCGGCTTTATATTAGTCATTTTCAGCTTTGAGGTGATGTTCATATAGGCTTGTTCCATGCTCTCATAGCTGGTACATGTAATCCAACAAATCAAGTATTTAGGGTCTTGATTTCGCATGCGGTAAGCCAGTTCAAGTGCGATCTGTGTCTTTCCAATACCACCTAGCCCGCAGATAGCAACTTTGCTAGGTCCGATCTGTTGCATAAACAATCCTTCAATCCTGGTGATTTCGTCTTCCCGACCTGCGAACCGTGGGTTCCTCCGGAAGGGGACCATCCAGACTGATTGCTTTAAATCACGTGTTTTTTTGCGGCAATAAGTGGGAACTACCGACAGAAGAGCCTTCGCGTACGCAGCAGCCGCAAGCGCAGCATATCATTGCCACTGTTTATTTTTATGCGAATCACAGTAGTCACAAATGCCGCGAATGGCTAGCGAAGGGATTTCGTCCATGAGCCCAGCAGCCTCTATTTTAAAACAGAGTATGTCTAGATCCTGAGCAATGGAATCGTGAGTCTTGGCATCTTTCATGACCTGATCTCCAGAAGTGATCAAGCCATAATGTATATAAGGGTCATTATTTCCCCGCTCAGAACGGTTCACTAACTGTGTCTGATCATATGCTGAACAGTTATGTTCGCTATTCTCATGGTCGTAGGTTGGTGAAAATAGCCAGTTGACTTTCGGTCGTGAAGACTCTTCCCTTATCTTTTCACTTTTGTGCAGTGTATTATTCAAAATTTCGCTGATCAGCCTTTCCCCGGTCATATAACTACTTTCTAATTGAGACACGGCCTTCAGCAACACTGGTGGAGGTTTATTAAGTGACCTGGTGTGCTGGAATCGACCGCCGTGCAGTGTCTTGCTGTAGTCAAATTGGATAACGCTGCTTGAAGTGGTAGTTGGCCTGCTGACCACAACATCGCCAAGGCGAATATCATTTCTTGGGCTCGGGACTCCGCCCCCAATACCCACTATCAATCCGAAACCAGACCGGAGAGTCGGAAAGGTAGAGACCATATGTGACACTACACCTGTAGCGGATATCGTCCCATAGACACCGCCAGGCAGACAGGCCACCACTACATTGTGGCTGCCAAATCTCCCAAGTGTGTAGACATTGTGGTCGGATATTGGCTGGGGAAGCGGAGGGTGAACGTCGTCCAGCATGGCCTTCGCTGCTGCTAGTTCCAACGGCAAGGCGCAGATCCACGCGACTGTATAGTCGTGGTGCGTGAAGGACATTTTATATATCAGATACAATAAAGTGGTGAGAGGCTTTATCGAGGAAGGACCAGGTAGTCTTTGGTCGGAAGAAGATAGAGTATGCACCAGAACTGCAGAATTAAACATTCCAAGAAACAGATCTGAGGTCGGAGTTGGGGGGGTTCATCTGACACGTGTAATTAAGAGGCTGTCGCGGTTAAAGGGCCAATCATGGTCTCGAGAACATATAAAAAGCAAACAGGGGAAGTGATGTGTATCGACAATTTAAGCAACAAGACCAGTTTCTCAACATGACTTTTGTAAAGCCTTATAGACAAACCAAGGAATATCGTTTGCTAGGTATCCAAAAAAGCTTAAAGTCTGAGCTACAATTGAGTTCTGAGAGGTTTCGTGAGGCATAGCTACTACATATAATTTGAAATAATGCCTCCGACGTCTTGACACGCAGAATTGTCCCGATTAGTCATCGAGTTCCTGGTCGACAGAAAAGTGGGGTGTTGGATCACTGGTTAATCCCGTCGAAGCTCAGAGACGGTGGTTCCAGAGTAATTCCAGCATGACAAAAATGCCCCTCTGCACTCTGCTTTCTGGCACCGACAATGTCAATGCACCACTCTAGATATGCATCAAAGTTTAGCTCGGGGTCCTCTTCATATATTTTCCAGTTACGCTTAATGAAGGCCTTTAGGTCCGCATTACGCTCTCCAGCAATCCGACGAGCTGTTTTCTTAGACCATCCAACTGATTTTAGCGCCCTCCTAATACTGGCGGTTGTCACTAAAGTCTCGAATTCATCCCATAAGAAAGTCGCCATTTCGTCTAGACACAGGTCGGGTTTCGTGAGGATATGCTCGCAAAGGGCGTCCAGCATAGGCGGGGTTACCGTTCGTGGTCGGCCGGCTTTGTTTGGGGGTGCTCTGACTACTGCCGAAAAGTCGCAGGTTCGAACGAATATATCGAATGCTGCGCTTACTGCAACCAGCCACGCCAGCCATTTGAGCAGAAGTCAGTGATCTGCTTAAAATCATGTCGCGAATGAGCTCATGCTGAGATGCTGCTAGATTGGGGGTCATTTGAGACACGAGCAGCTGCTCACTTGCAAGACAGAGTGCAGGAAGATGTGAGAAATAGGAGTAGTGCAGGGGATGACTGACGCGAACCAATTGCGTGTATCGTACTGCTATGTCACAGCGTAATATCGAAAGTTCCAGAATTATACAGCACTGGTAACACATAAAACATCGCTAGAACAGCCAAGGCGCCAAATGTTCATCAGTGGGGCTGCCATATAATTAAAGAGTGTTTTGGGCGGAAGGTGATTTTGAATGTCCCTGTATGAGGTCTCCACCTTCGCCTACGGCTACAGGGTGGCTGGAAGATGACAGAGGTCAAAAAAGACTTGCCATTCAGAAAAACCTGCTTTCATTGCTTGATGTTGAAAACTGCCTTCTGAGCATCAGAATTAGGCTTCCGCTTGTTGTCTTCTTGCGTGGCCGATGCATGATGTGAGATGAGAAGTCGTACATGTTATAGGACATATCACACTATAATACATACATTATTACTGTAACCTAAGAGTGGTTGTCTATTGTTAATAAGCAATTCATAAATTTACAATCTAGCGACAGTTCGAACATAGGAGAGCAAAGGAAGGACTATGACAACGTTGTCGGTGAGCGAGTGACGGGTAATGCAGAACCAAAGATCCAAAATCACGGTTACAGGCTGGTATGTACAACGTTCAAAAACAATGGGACAAGAATATTCCATGGACGACTTTGCTCGCACATTGCCAGTGTCACAGCGGAAACCCCATTCTGCCACTTCTGGACGCTCGTTTCCGCTGACTGATGGGAGTGAAGGAGACGTCTTCGTAACCCAGGATAAGACGGTGCTCCGTACTGTACCAGCCTCCATATTGCATGCTGCTTGGCTACCTGAGGCGGTCAATTAATCGCAGTGGTCGGTCTCCGCGCAGCAGCCGATCATAGTCACTACTGTACTTCCATACTGGCCGGCGGGAGGCCCGTATCTGCAATAAGGTAGATCAGCACTGCATCAGCTATAATGCAGACTATATCTCCAGCGATATCGATATACATACCATTTGGCGGTCCAGCTGTTCGAAAAGCGCAGTATTGGATGACTTAAACATTGTGTCGCGCGCCCCGGTGCAGATTACCACCCAAACACCGACTCCGAATTTGCTGAGCTCATGGCATTTCCGAAAGATGGTCTCTCGACGACGGGCGACATTGCGTACTCCTGGGATGGTACTGTTTCTTTCCGTCATGTCTGGCAGTTCGGACCAGAAACCTGTACAGGAAAGAACAATACGATCAGAATTCTGTTTGCAGATATACGACAATGCCATACTTTATAGATGCCATACTTTAAAGATACCTTGTTATGATCGCTCGGTATAAATGATTGTCTAATTCTCTTATCCGGCATAATCACAAACCCAATCTGACAGGATCTTCTCTTTAGGACTGCGAGTAGGCGAATCCGCCATCGGTTGCTGCCAACCATAGACCGAACGCGGGAGATACGCTAGTCCATATCCGGAAAGGCGTATCGCGCGTGATACACCACCCCGATTCGGTATGGCCATGTACTTCGGTCGCTCGCGCTGATCGCGGAATAACCATATACCCGAGGTCTCCACTACGGGTCGATTCGAGCGCGAACTGCATGGCTTTCAGATACCCGCTCTGATGATTTGCGAGTACCACACAGCACTTCGCCGCAGACAGGCTCGGTACCAAACTCTCCGACCACGCCAGTTGCCGGAATACGGAGCCAACCCACTGTCAGGGAACATGCGGCCCGAATTGTTGCCCGACATACGTGAACTTACATGGCCCGCTTCCTGGCGTGCTCCACGCGAACCGTCGTGTCGTCGCGCGGGAACATATTCTCAGCAACATCATGTTAGGTTTCGCAGTATTCCAGGGTTACAGCGCTGTGGCATAGGTAACGTGCCCCGCTGAGACCTCTGCTGGACTGTATGAAAAGTCACTCCTACATAAGGTCCAATGAGAACTATGTTGACATTTTTACTCTACACAGTGCTCTAGATCCACCATAAGAGTGCGTGTTTCTCGTGCGCTTTCCGCTCTACAGCTTTAGATAATTGTTATTGTATCATCCTCGAAATTCAAGTCCATAACGAAACCTGAAAAGTCATGGTTCACACCCGCTTCGTAGCGCGCTGGACAATTTCCTCTTTCCCCATCTGCCAACAAAATTGCTCCACCTGCCTCCAGTGAATACTAACCATCGAGGCCAGTGGAGACCACATCTGAAATCGAAATCTGGGAAGTGGGTCAGCATTTGAGCTTGGAGTCAATTTTGTAGTCTCAGACTTACTCTTGGTACCAGTAGGCAACTTCATCACGCAACTTGTCATCGTTGTCTACACAACGGATTAGCTGTAACGTCAAGATACGAGCTGCCGCGTTCCGGCGAGAATACGCGTCCCACTCGGTCACAGTGATGGAGGGTGGTCTAGAGGTCCCAAGCGGGATCGGACTCGGCAACAGGATCGGCTGAGCATGAATCCTTGCCGAGGACACTGTGGGCAGGTCTGCGGCTGGCCGGATCGCGTCGGGGTCCAGTGCTGCCCTCCTTGGTGAGGGCGTCACCGGGTCCCTGCCACTGCTCAGCGCCTTCGGATCGGGGCTAGTGCTGCATCCCATCTGTGCAGGACTTGGAGTGGTTACGTCTTCAAGCCGAGCAGGGCTGGGTTCATTTTCATTGGGCATCGTGAGGTCTGTTTGCCGAGGCTGCTGCCTTGGGTATGATGAGCTCATGGGATTTTAATAGAGACCGATAGAAGTTTTAAAAGCAAGAAACCCGCGTGTTAATTTGAGCCCTGTAAGTAATGCGGCTGATGCTTGTTTGTGTCGTCCAGGAGGAATGGATGGAAGCAGTTGAATACATTCAGTTCGGACGATCAGCGGGCTTTATATCATTGAAGTTGCCAGGCAACATGCAGCCTGAACAATCCTATGCAATACAGCTATACAACTTTCCAGTCTCCACAGACTGCCCTGGTGGACCCACAATTGTCATGTCATTTCCAAACTTCATGACCCAGCAGTGGATCGTAGCAGCCCTACTGATATATGTGAGGCTTGGCAGAGCTCAGGGTACTGCGATTAACCTTGACCAGCTTTCAGCCGCACAGATTTCTCGACCCCGGCTATCTGCAGAGACCCTCCCTGATCTATACATATAAGAGATCAACTCTCACTTGGGGCTTAGACCGGCACGAATATACCTAAACTGTATGTATTTGCATGCTATCAAAGAAACATCAGCGCCGCAGCTGAAAACAACTCATTTGAAAACATAGTGACGAGGACTTACCAATACAATATGGTGTCTACTGTGGGAAGGCCGGCGCACATCCAGTTTGCACGCAACGGCACCCGAGGACGGCATGTGTCTTCACGACCACCCACCAGTGGTCTGACGATTGAAGATGCCCTGGCCCCAATCACGTCCACTGCAGCAAAGACCCGAAAAAAGAGGCAAATTGCTACTTTCATATATGCAGGGCTTCTTGCAGCCTCCCTAGTGGCCGACATTTTGGCTCTTCTGTTCTTGACCAGACCCTCTGTTCAGCAGGCGGGAGTGGCCACTCTTCATGTGAGTTGGTAACTACTACTGAGCATCTGCAGTGTAACACTGTACAGCAACTGAGTTGGGATATAACTAATCGCGTTTCTCAGTTAAACGGGGAAGGCCTCCTGCTCAAGCGCGGCAAGAAGGCCTATACCATGGGCGAGACCTACGTCACCGCAACATCTGCCAGAATAGATGACAATACTGCTGAGATCACCACAGCAGCTAGTAATGTGCCTCTCCTCACAGCAACCACGGCTCCTGATCGCCCTGGCTTCTTGACAAGTGATACCAATGGATCTGACTGGATTTCTATCGGTACCCAAGCACTGTGCTTTCAGTCTGGTCCAAGCAGCCGGGTGTGTCATCCGCTCCCGGCAAACCTTTCAATTATTCTGCCTCCTTCTATGCAACTTGTGCTGGGGGACTCCGTTTCACAATTACAAGATTTTGAGCGGTCGGCTGCTGTTACAGCCAGGAGAGGTGCCCGGTCTGTCATGGCCATTGGTCTGGTACTGATATCTGTTGCGGTGACCCTGGTCTTGATCTTTTCTTGGTGGTCGTGGGCTTATGTGCACAGGGTGAAGTGGCTCATGATGGCAGTTGCCAGCCTGTGCGGCCTGGTATGTTTCACAGTATCTTCCGGTGTCCTAGGAACTCTGCAGTCTTCTATTGAGGAGGCGGTGCATCGTGGCATTCCAGGTATTGCTCGGATGGAATGGGGATCCGCAAACCGGTATAGTTTAGGGGCCATGTGTTGTGCTATTGTGGCCTTTGGCTGCAGCCTTGCATCTCAGGCTATATAAGCAATTATACTATAGGGGGAAAGCGTTTCAGGATTTCCGGCTTGTTACAGCGTCCTTTATTTCTTCTTCGTCTGAAGGAATGAATGCATGCACTGCTTGCTCTTGGTATATGTAGAATGTCATGTCGCGGTGCAAACATATTGAGCTACTGCGTGGAATATATACAATTGCCCCTTATATCAGTAGCCAGGGTAGCAATATTATCATCTTATACGGGACCTATCAAGTGAACTGATAAATCACACTCTCAACTCATGTTCATAGCTTTTAACGATTTGCTTCAAGAGTGAACTGATGGAGCAGGTACGGGCAGGACTAAGTCATTACAGTGAAATGAAACCGCTTGAAGAAGTGGTGATAACTACCAATTCATAATCATACATAGAGTGGGGCCTCTCGGTACACAACATAATTGGACATGCCTGGAGTAAGAAGAAGCGCGTTCAAGAGCATACATTTTATCATAACAAACCTTCTCACTAATTCTGTACAGTTCAGCAGGCGGAGCGGCACGGGAAACTAGGTCAAGCACCGACAGCCGAGGGAGCCTAACCAGACATAGAGAATCAAGAATAGATTGATATCCGGTGAGACGCTATCCCAAATACCCAGGTGCCCGTACGGACAATTTAATATAGCGAGCAGTCCATAGAATCTGCTGGGGGCAAATCCTGCCTATGTGTACCCTTCACTGATAGTATATTCCTTCCATATCTCTATATCCTGACCTTCTATCTGAGAACATCCTCTACGGTGCGCGAGACTCCGCTGAAAACCGATTGCATTGTTGCTTCCCACCATTGTGGATACTGTCATCTTCCAACAATCACGCGCATCAAAGTTGTGAAAGGAATTCACCAAACAAGCACTGGATCCCAAGTAGCTTGCCAAACATGAGCGTCGACGGTAGACATCCCGGTCCTTCTCAGTGTGATATATCAACTTCCACGCAGCCGAGATCCATCCCCGATAGTGCCAAAAGGTCTACCCAGCAGGAGCCGTCGACAGCCGAAATCCCGAATACAGCCCCGGACCTAGGGTACGCTGAACAGCATAGGGGTCATGATAATCATTGGACACCTGCGGATGATGCAACATTACTCGCTCTGCGTCGTGAAAACACACCCTGGGCCACTCTCGTGAAGAAAATGCACCCCAAGCGAGCAGCAGCTTGCCTTGTACGCTGTGCTTACCTCGAGAATCGCCAGGAAGAGTGGCTCCAGAGTAATCCGAAGAATAGCTCTTGAGCTAAGCATAGACACAGCAAGCATGGCCTAAGAAGACACTGAAGAGGCCGTGATACGGCAGGCTGGACGGGTACTGTACTCGTCGAGCCCGGTATGCGGCCCTATTCTGGCAAATGTTGAGCCGGCTAAGCCTTGTATTCACACAGGTATGAAGCAGGTACGGAGGAGTTACGGCAGGATCGCAGTGGAGTGCTTTGCATCTTCCCATTTAGGCGGCCGGTCCAAGCTACTGCTGGGTTTCTAGAGAAAGAAAAAAAAGAAAAAACAATAGAAAGAAAACGAAAAAATTTACGATGATGATAATAATAAAAAATGCGGGTTACGGGTTTCAAGCCGGTACAAATGTACGAATAATTCTATACTGAACGTTTATATGAGTACAGCATTGAGAAAACCTCGGCAGACTTCTCACCGGAGAGATAGCGGGGGTAGAGAAAGGTAGGCTCCACAGTACTTTAGGATTCCGAGGAACTTGGTATTGTGAAAAGATGATTTTCACCTTCACTGTAAGGCGCCGGTACACCGACTCGGTACGAAGATTCGACCTAATTAGGATCGACTACGAATTGAGCTTCGAACGGATTGTTGCGACTGTTTCTTGAACGTGGGGAGGAAAAATGTCGGGACGGGCCGAGACGCGAACCCCTGAACCGCCCGACCGCGACGAACGCGAAAACTCGCCACCGCGATTGGTGAGGCCGAAACGCACGACAAGACCACCAGCCCACTATGCTCAAGAGCAAGAGATCGATACTGAACAGAGAAACACGCGCCCCCAGCGAAAGAAGAAGAACCAGGGTAAACCAGTCGCCCAACGTGAAGCGGCGACTTCGGACGACTCCTCGGCAGAGAGCGAGGACTCAGACACCTCCAGACTTGTGAAAGAGATTGTTAAGCTCAGAAGAGAAATCAGACAACGAGATGAACTACACAAGGAGGAGCTCCATAGAGTCAAAGAAGAGTTTGGCGCTACCCTCGCAGAGTTTCGACACGAATTACAGACCCTGGCGAATCGACCCTCGACACCGCAACCCCACCCCGAGTCATGTGCTCAGAACAGCCACGAGGAGATCCTTCGCGAAATCCAATCCTTGCGCATTGCAGTCAATCCTTCGGGATCCCCGTCCTATGCAGATGTCGCCCGTACTCCCCCCACCAGCCAACCAAGCAATATACGGACTCTCTCATCGTGGAACACGATACCGACTACCTTCACCGACACGCTATATTGCACGATAGACACCTCGAAGATGGCAGATACTGAAAATGAGAGACCATCAGCAGGTCCAATTAGAACGGCAGTTGAGGCCGAGATCCGGACAATGGAAAACTACACGAACTGGCAGTGCCGCGCTGTCACAGTGGACCCAAAGAACACCAGCCGGATCAGAATTGCGTGCCGAGATGAGGCTGAACACCAGCTGGTTAAAAAGATGGCGGAAACCAAGGTCGACGCAGGAGCCCGAGTGCTTCGTGACGAACTGTACCCGATCAAAGTCGACAGCGTCAACAGAACTGCAGTGCTTGATGAAAACGGTGATATCCGAGCAGGAGCTGCAGCAGCCTTTAACAAAAAGAACGAAGCTTCCATCGCTAAGATTACATGGCTCAGTAGAAAGGAGAATGCGAAGGCCTATGGGTCAATGGTCATTTATCTGACCAAAGACAGTGATGCACGGAGGCTCCTGGCCGACGGGTTCTTTCATGCTAGGGGAGAATCCGGCGTGACCAGCACCTTTGAATACCGACCCCGACCGATGCAATGCTATAATTGCCAAGAGATCGGACATAAGGCCTTCCAGTGTAAGAACGCGCAGAAATGTGCAAAATGTGCCGCGGAGGGCCATTACCACAGTAGCTGCGATCAAACGATTCCAAAGTGTATTCCATGCGGAGGCCCTCACGAATCGTACAGCAAAAACTGTCGGAAGCTCTACCCATCGCATCATGAATAAGACTCTTCGAGTTATTCAACTGAATGTTAGAAAACAGGGTGTAGTGCACGAGAGCTTAATGAATGACGAAGAGACTCAGAACGCGGTAGTATTAGCAATTCAGGAACCCCAAGCGAGGAGGATTCAAGGCCGGCTCTTGACCACCCCAATGGGACACCACAGATGGACGAAGATGGTTCCCTCTACTTGGAGGGAAGGCAGGTGGGCAATTCGAAGCATACTCTGGATTAACAAAGATGTCGAGGCGGAACAAGTGCCAATAGAGTCCCCGGATCTCACGGCAGCGGTTATTAGGCTTCCTGAGCGACTGATTTTCATGGCATCAGTTTACGTGGAAGGGGAAAATGCCTCAGCTTTGGACGATACATGCAAATACTTAATCAACGCGATCACGAAAGTACGGCGAGATACGGGTGCGGTGGTGGAGATTTTAATTATGGGAGACTTCAACCGGCAGGACCAACTCTGGGAAGGAGACGACGTGTCTTTGAGAAGACAAGGTGAAGCAGATCCAATCATTGACCTCATGAACGATTATGCTCTCAGCAGTCTTCTCAAACGAGGTACAAAAACATGGCATGGCGGAGGATACAGCGGGGACTGCGAGTCAATAATTGACCTGGTCCTGGCCTCGGACAACCTAACAGACTCCGTGATTAAGTGTGCTATACTCGGGACAGAGCACGGCTCGGACCACTGCGCTATTGAGACTGCATTTAATGCCCCCTAGTCGCTCCCACAGCATCAGGGACGACTTCTGTTGAAAAATGCTCCATGGAAAGAGATCAATGCCAGGATAGCAAACACTCTTGCTGCCACTCCGGCAGAGGGCACAGTACAGCAGAAAACCGACCAGCTCATATCGGCGGTCTCGGACGCGGTGCATGTGTTAACACCAAGATCAAAACCATCACCACACACGAAGCGGTGATGGACCGCTGATTTAACACAGCTCCGTCACATACACACATACTGGAGAAATCACGCCCGCTCTGAGCGACGGGCGGGACGAAAAGCACCCTACCTGGAGACAATAGCCCGAGACGCGGCAAAACAATACCATGATGCCATCCAGCAACAAAAGAAAAAGCACTGAAATCAATTTCTTGCCAACAATAATAACATATGGAAAGCCGCTAGATACCTAAAGTCGGGAGAAGACGCAGCGTTCGGGAAGATCCCGCAGCTCCTCAGAGCAGATAGGACCACGACCACTGATCATACAGAGCAGGCAGAAGAATTGCTGGCCAAATTCTTCCCGCCCCTGCCGGACAACATTGATGATGAAGGGACTCAACCACAAAGAGCGCCCGTCGAGATGCCTGCCATCACGATGGAGGAGATCAAACAATAGCTGATAGCGGCAAAGTCTTGGAAGGCACCCGGCGAAGACGGTTTACTAGTAATAGTCTGGAAGATGACTTGGCCTACAGTCAAGTACAGAGTCCTGGATCTCTTCCGGGCATTACTGGAAGAAGGCACGTTGCCAAGACAGTAGAGACATGCAAAGATTATACCGCTAAAAAAGCTGAACAAAGAGAACTATACCATTGCCAAAGCATGGAGACCGATTTCGCTCCTCGCGACACTGGACAAGATACTGGAATCTGTGGTCGCAGAAAGGATCTCACATGCAGTAGAGACTTATGGTTTACTCCCGACCAGCCACTTCGGCGCCCGAAAGCAGCGGTCCGCCGAGCAAGCACTTGTACTCCTGCAGGAGCAAATTTACGCGGCATGGCACGGCCGACGCGTCGTGAGCTTGATCAGCTTCGATATCAAGGGCGCCTATAATGGAGTCTGCAAAGAACGGTTACTTCAGAGAATGAAAGCGCGAGGTATACCGGAGGATCTACTCCGGTGGGTTGAGGCATTCTGCTCGGAACGAACAGCGACCATTTAAATCAATGGGCAACTGTCTGAGACCCACAGCCTGCCACAGGCTGGACTGCCGCAAGGCTCGCTGCTATCCCCAATCCTGTTCCTCTTCTTCAATGCAGACCTTGTACAACGTCAAATCGACGGCCAGGGTGGTGCGATTGCGTTCGTAGATGATTTTACCGCGTGGGTGACCGGACCAAGTGCGCAGAGCAACCGGGAAGGTATTGAGGGAATCATTAAGGAAGCTCTTGACTGGGAAAGACGAAGTGGGGCAACTTTTGAAGCAGAGAAAACAGCCATCACACACTTCACCCCCCTACATACCAAACAACCCCTACTTCTATCCTCACTGCGTAATCCCTAGATAGGAACACACACATACAAATCTCTGCCCTTTCTTTACTTCCTATAAGTAGATATTCTAACAGGTTATAAGCCCG